TTCCAGAAGAAGAGATTCGAGCGGAGAGTCCGACAACACATCATCAGAGGGAGAACAGCAAATAAATATGTTGAGAGCAGCATACGTTCCAAAAAATATAATTACAAAGGAACGGATAGATAAATTAATCATCAGGTTACAAGATTCGATAAGTCAAAGGAAGGAAAATACTTACCAAGAAGAAGTACAGTCGCAAGAAAAATCCAATCCCAGAGTATCGTCGACGTCGGCAGACGGAACAAATAACCACGAGGAACTGGAAACGGAGAGCAGTGATTCACCTGAAATAAAAGGAAATAACACAATTAATAAAAATGGTTACAAAATACGAAAAATACACCACTGGAAATCCGCGAATCAACCTGAAAACAACCTCTGGATAGATGACACTAAACGAAGAAAATTTCAACAACGTCAAGCGAAAAAATTAAATAAGGCTCAGAAAAATAAAAATGGTGTGAAAGCACAAATATCCACCACAAGAAACTGCAACATCGCAATAAATGCAAATAATAATCACAAAAATAAAAACAAATTCAATAAAACGTTGAGCGAACAAATATTACCGCTCACGCAGAGTTACTAGGAAAGAGTAGCGCCGCCACGTTGCGCGACGCGAAGCCACGAGTACAGTTCAGCGACAACTAGTCGTTAGCCAACCATAGTACCGCAGACATTGAGTGCGAGACAACAAAAAACAATATGGCAACAAGGCAAGATATACAACCTTACCAATCCGAAGAAGAACTGTGCAGACGAGAGGAGGAACTGCGAAAATTAATTATCAGCCGGATAGCAGAAAGAGATATAATGAAACATCGAATCTGAAGAATCGAAGAAATGGAAGAAATTGCCAAACAACTCACGCAGCCGATCAAATCAACAATCGAGTCATACGACAACGAACTTGAGGAAGCGATAGCAAAGTTTCAAGTATCGGTAGGTATTTATAAGAAAGCGTATCACACGACAGAAATTCGTGATAACGAGGGAAAACTGATAGCGGAAATAGATACTGCATACAAGATCCGCATAAATGCATCGGAAGAAGATTTATTAAATTCCGAGATAGATCTCACAATGAGATATAAAAACGGAAAGACGTCATGTCATATGAAAATTACATACCCACAAACACTAGAAGCTGCAGGTACGTCAACAAAAGAAATCGTACGAAGTGAAGCAGATTACACTATGGAGACGACCGTGCAACCGAATGCATTTTTCCCGCTTACACACCAATTAATAAATTAATCCGCTAACTTACAGACAACAATATCCACGATGACCCTCGCAACAAGGAAGCAACTTCCAGAGGAGACGACCTTGGAGCTCATCAATCAGCCAGAAATGGAACCTGGCCAAATAAGAGATCAAAACTCCCAACAACAACCAGCAGACGAGCCGGACCAGTCAGCCTAGAAGCTATTATATCTATTATATTTTAATATTATGTTATAATTTAATTATTTTTCAATGTAAAAGGTCTCGTCGTATCTAAGATGTTTTATATATTATTTTATTATCAGTGCAAATAACAAAGTTAAAATTAAATATTATTATATTATTTTCATATATTTTATATATTTCATAAGACAAATGATTTAACATATAACTTTGAATAAAAAGAATAATAGCTATAAGAACCCATAAAGGGAAAAAAAAGAAAATATTAAATAAAGTAAAACTTACTCAACCCACCTAGAAATCCTAGAAGCAGCGATCCAATTGTATTCCAGTGAAGTAATCTGAAAAAAGAACAAATAATTAAAACAAATACTACAAGATTAGAACAAATAAAATTAAATACTAAAATAGATGACATGATAAAAATAAATAATACTTACCGTATTATTATATAAAGTATATAAAGCAAACACTATGGATAGATTGGTGACTCTGTAACAAAATACAATTAATTAAGATATAAAAGGTAAGAAACTATGCAGTAACAAAAAGTCCATTTAATTTGCAAAACAATAATTATTTCACGTTTGAAAAGCTACGCATATGGCGTATTAATTAAATTTAAGTTGCGAGAAGCAAATCGAGCAATTGGAAGATTAAATAATAATAAACAATGAAAATAGAGTCAAGGGCGAAAAGCCAATAATTAATTCGAGTCACTAAAAAGATGTTATGTAAAAAAAACTGATAAAAGTAATCCAATTGGTCGAAGTTAATATTAAGACGCGTCAGATAAGATACGCGCAGTCAAAAGTTCAATTTGCGATATTTTCATGAATTTCTCATTAATAAACACATTTAGTAAAGATTTTAGAATTATTTGGAATCATAGAGTCAATTTCGGAATTATTTAAACAAAGTCGAGTTATCGCAAATTTATTAGATATTATTTCGGACATCCACAAGTCATCGGAATGTATTACGAGTCGCAAATTGATATTTTGAGTAAAGGTCCTGATAACTGAGAGAATTCGATAATTATTTCAAAAATATTAGAGGTTAATAGAATTATTTACGGTTTAAAACTAATTAAATACGATTAAAAATAAATTGTCCAAGTTTGGACAAGTCTGCGGGCCAATCAGAACGACCTCAGATACCAAGAGCTTGTATTTCATTAAAAAATGTATAAAATGTATTAAAAACAATTATTTCATGTATAACATTATTTTATAATTATTAAGATTAATTTTACGCATGTAAGGCCGTGTGAATGAGGTAACTATAAAATAACCATAATTCGGGGATACCGAACGGACCGAGGGAACTTGAACGCACCAGTTCTTCTTGGCCATCTTGGCGGTGGAGACAGCCATCTTGCCAGTCAGTCGTACTTGAGCATCCGAACGGGACGGACCTCAGACAACACGCGGCTCAAAATTATTGCGTAATCGAGTATATCGGCGTATAACCGGTAGTCACGAGTTACACCACGTCGAATTCGTACGCAGAAGTAATCGCGAAGCTCGAAACGCGCGAATTAACGCGAAATTCCGAATAATTTCCAAGATAACCGCGAAAACGCGGAAAACGGCCGTAAGTCGCCGTAAATCGTTTCTGAACGAGTAGATATTAATCCCGTTTAAACCAGTACGCGTAATTATCGCGGAAGAATCGAGTTCTTATGCTCGAAAGCCTTTGTGCTAAGTGGATGATGCAACATCACGCCACATTGTAAGGCGGCCATCTTGTGCAACCGCCATTAGCGAGACGCGAGGCGACGTATCGCGTGATCGTTAGTAAAAGAGAGATAGCAATAGCGTCGGGAAGTGTGAATGCGAGCGCGAGTGAGACGGATGAGTGATATATGGCCTTTGAGTTTTAATGTTTCATTTATTAATAAAGTTTAAGCTGTGTTAACCAAAGTGCCGAATTAACTATTTTCGTGTAAACCATCCACTCATTAATTGAGATATCACGCTTCTTCACACTACACAATCCACGGCGAGCAATTCCTGATCCAAGCGGCCAATCAGAGTAAAGGAAGGAAGGAAGTCTTCAAGCGACCTTCTTGCAGCCTAAGCCGATAAAGGAAATAATCCAGGAAACCCACCTTCTCTGTTAGTGGTAAAACAGAGTGGCGACCGTCAAAGTAAGTCCATTAAGGGGACATTAATTCGTTTTAATTGAAATAATAAATTTAAATACGGTATTTTAATAATTAGAGACTTCGATCCGGTTACAACCGCACCAGACATATATGGACCAGCGGCAACCCAACCTCAAATTCAAGAAGAAGCAGCAATAAATAACCAAGGTAAACAAATACAAATACCTTTACATAGACTAACAGGAGAAATGCTGAACAAAGTCGTAAAAAGCAAGATTACAGAGAAAAGAAAAACCTAGTAGACCACATGGATCGACGAAAAGAACGAAACTACAACAGGAAGAAGAACAAGAAGAAAATTACTACATCGATTACGCGGACAAAGCGAAGAATCCAGCGAAACCCAGCATGATAGACTACCAAATTATTAACCGGACTGAAAATAGATTACGTCCGATCGAGAGAAAATCCTATATGGAACGACCTGATTCGCCAACCGAAGAGTCAGACACAATAACAAAGGAGGTACGTCAAAATATTAACACCTCTAATAAACAACACTTCTCCTGACAAACGGGAAAAAAGAGATAATTTGCCCTTAATGTGGTTACAGAAGGACAAATTAGAGCGGAGAATGAGACCGCATGCATTTTTTGCAAAGATTACTATTATATAAAACCCGCAACCACATTTCAGAAATCCATACCAAGGATAACGCTCGCTGAACACGACCAAGCTACAATTAATCAACCACAAGCGAGAGCGGGAGCTGAATCAAAAGAACAGGACTAAAAGACGTAGACCAGAGTGACTTCCAGAACCCATCAACCAGAAGAGTTTAATTATTTAGAACATTTTAATTTTATATTCTATTTTATCAGTATTTATGTAAAAGGTCTCGTCGCCTACAAGGCAATTACAAACAAAGATTTATTTTATGTTAAAAAACTTAAAAAGAACTAACAATTAATTATATTTTACATTTTATTAAAAGTTACGTAGTATACGAGTTAATCAGAATAAAGTTTTATAAAAAAAAAAATAAAATAAAACCCGCATAAAGGGAAAAAAGAGTTAGAAAACAAAATTAGAAAACAAAATAAATACTCAACCTACCTAATAATCCTGAGTAAGGCGAACCAAACATATTCCGGTAGAATAACCTAAAAGGGAAAAGGAATAATTAAAACAAATAATGCACATGATGAATAAATTAAATTAAATGTAGAAACAGATAGCTTAATGAATACAATAATACTTACCGTAAAATAACACGCCGAGAATTGTTTGGTAACCCTAAAAAAGAAATACAGTTATAATAAATACTTACAAGGGCTGCGGTCCGATTCACGCCCATAGCGCTCACGGTTCTCACGACATTAATGATCGGTCCGATTTGTTAGCATGTTAACGATGATTTTATTTCGGACCGTCTGTGGATACAATCACGAGACCCATAACCTGTGTATTATACTTGTGAATAATGGCTATTCAACGTAAAGCTGCATTATTACAATTGATGGAAATTGTACTCGAGGATTCAGAAAATGACGAACAATCAATTCTTATAAATCAATCATCTTCAAGTGATGATGAAAACGAAGAGGAAGCTTTGAATTTATATGTAGCTTTGACTTTAAGCAAAAAGAGAAAGAAAATAGACAAAAGACCGCGTGTTGAAGGCTTTGTAGAAAGAATTATTCCAGGATATACGGCAAAAGAATTTAAAACACATTTTCGGTATGTTGTATTTATTTATATTGCTGTTATTATTCTAATAATAATATAACTCTTCTGTTGAGTTTTGGAATTGGAATAGATTATTGCCTACAACCTTCGACTTTATTTTGAGGTTGATAGGTGCAAATTTAAATTCTACCAAATCAGTCGCAGGTAGGAAGCCTATACCTGCACAAAATCAATTGCTAATGGCTCTATGGATGATAGCTACACCCGACAGGTTTATTATAATATATATACAGATATATATACATCTAGTATTTTTTGTAATTGTAAATGAAAACATTGAAACAAATTATAACTTTCAGATCAGTGTGTACTAAATTTGATTTGGGAAAAGCAACAGCAATTCGGGCTATGAGACGAGTTACGCATGCCCTGCATAAGTTAGCTCCTCGATTTATTCAATGGCCTCAAGGAAGAAGGGCTATTGAAGTCATGGAAGCATTTGAGCGCGTAAGTGGATTTCCAAATGTGATAGGAGCCATCGATGGCACACACATAGAGATACGATCTCCTCAAGGCGTTGATCATCAAGCTTATACAGGGTGTCAATTATGTACCGGGACGGTCAAATATTTCGACAACTTCCAACATTAAAAAAAAACGCTGAAACACGTGAAACGATTTTTCAAAAAAATTTAAAGGCTGTGTGTACACAAAATTTATTATTTACAAACATTTTTGTTAGAAACGCTGGATCTGTGCACGACGCTCGAGTTTTCAGAACTTCCCCAGTAGCTCGATATTTTCAGAATTCAGAAATTTACTTTCCTAATGACAGTCATCTTGTTGGTGATGCTGCCTACGGTATCCATTCAAATATGATGGTACCATTTAAAGACAATGGTCATTTGAGTCATAGGCAGAAGAACTTTAATTTTTGTCAATCTTCAGCACGTATTCATATTGAAAGACTCTTTGGTACCTGGAAAGGACGTTGGAGGAGTATTTTGGATTGCTTGCCTATGATTACTTTAAAGAAAATACCGGAATACTTAGTAGCAACTGCAGTCTTGCATAATATTTGTATTTTGAATAAGGATTTAGTTGATGTCAACGTGGTGGTAAATCAACACATCCAGCGTGATACTTTAACATCAAATAAAGTAGATGAGGGCAATAGAAAACGACAAAAGATAATGAACAATTTAATTATGAGGCTTGTTTAATGCGTACTTTTGTATAATATAGGAACTATATAGGAACTCAGAGTTTTCTTGCAATATCGCAGATTAACAATAAGTGAATATCATAATAAAAATCAAAAAACATAATATCTTCCATGTGTGTATGTATGTAAGAGCGATCAAATAATATCTGTTTTAACAGTTCGAACAAATCCGCAGTTTATACATAGCCATTAAAGAAAAAAAGATACTCAATTAATAATTACTGTTAATTTGGGACTAGTTTGAATCATCTTACACCATGTATGAAATCATAATAAATAAAAAAAACAAATAGAAACTAAGAATTTGAAAACATTGAAATTAACTTAAGAATTGCACACAATAGGATCCCAATGCAAGTTAGAACTTTTCTGCAATATTGCAAACAATATCATAGTAAAAATCAAAGAATATAAAATCTGTAATAAAATCTGTGTATAAAAAGAGTTAGTCAAATAATTTTTTGCCTGCAAAACGGCTTCGCAAAACTTTTTCATTATATCCATTTTTTCTTTATGTTGTTTTTCTTTTTCTTCTTTTAGTTCCTGTAATACAGCTAACTTCCTTTTCTCTTTTATCATTTCTCTTTCCTGCCTATCTTGCTTCATTTGCTTTATAAATTCATCTAAAACTTTTTCAGACTTTGGCTTCTTAGCATTTGGTTTATTAATATCATAATTCTCATCTATTGAACTTTCACATGAAAGCCCAGCCTCTGATGCTGTTACTTTCGGATACGCCCATCCTGATTTTCCGAATAATTTATCCATTCTCTAAAAATAAAATTATATTAGAGCTACCTACATCTATTTGTGCATAGAAAAAAAAACATTGATGCTGTTGCTTTTGGATACTCCCATCCTGATTTTCCGAATAATTCATCCATTCTCTAAAAATAAAATTATATTAGAGCTACCTACATCTATTTGTGCATAGAAAAAAAAACATGCATTATAATATACCTCAAAATATTGCCATGACTTTCGATCATTTCCAGACACACTATTGTGGTCTATGATTTTTTTAAACATCTTTTTCATGCTATTCATTTTTGACTGACATTGTATGCCTGACGCTGTAAATTTTGGATTAACTTCATGTCGCTTGCAATGCTTTCTCAGATTTTAGAATGACGTTTTGTACCTGAAGAGAACTCATTCATTCGTTCCTCATATTTTTCCAAGAGCAAATATACGTTCTTTGAAGACCATAGAAATAAAGTTTTGTCATTTTCTATAAGAAATCCAAAAAATAATTTAATCAGAAGACAATAATAAAATTATTTAACACCATTAAGGGCATATTCTATAACTTTTAACGACTGCAACGATATCGTTACATTATCATTGCGCAGATTTTGTATATTGCAAAATAGCTGTGCAATAATAATTTAATGATATCGTTAGAGTCGTTAAGAATTACAGAATAGATCCATTAATTTATACGCACCAGTTGACTCTTTGACATTTTGTGTCGATTTTACTGATTGTACATGTTTAGATGAGACATGCAAGGGATCTGTTTCTAAGGCAGATGAACATGAAGCAGAAGATGTATCTTCATCAAGCATATAAGTATCAATTTCGTTATCCATGGTTTCATAAATCTGTAAAACTGATTTCTTTCGCCTTGCATTGTGTTGGTTTATTAATCTTAATACAAATGCATTATCTGTAAATTTATTATTCGAGAAAAGCAAAAATATTAAAATTACAATGAATTAACCTATAAATGTTAGTCTTATATCTTATATTTTCTTACCTTTAGTTGCTCTTTCAGCTTCTGCTGCCGTTAATTGAAGAATTATAGTCTCTTTAGTATCCTCAAGATAAATTTGGAATGGTATGCGAGTATCTGTCATTTTGGAAAGAACTGATACAAACGACGTTCGATGTTGTATAAATTTTTGTTGTCAAAAATGGATAATCGACGATTCTAACCTTGATTCAATCATTTTTATAATAATTATTAAAACAATTAATATTATTAATTATTATTATATTATTATCAATTACATTTAATTATTTTTATAAGCGATTATATTATATATATACTACGTCGATGCATCTATTTCACATTAACAATTCATATTAGTCCTCTATTCCCGCGCAAATAAAGAGAACGCTCACGCCGACCTCATCTCCGGATCATGGTCACCGTGAGCATGTAAATTCAAAAATTTATGACGTCACTTTGCTCACGTAAAACGTTCAGGGGCTCTATTCTTGAAAAGAAACGTGTACGAAAGTCTAGGGAAATGCTACAGTATATGTTACGTATACTATAGTATTTCCCTAAACTTTCGTATACATTTCTTTTCAAGAATAGAGCCCCAGGAATGAAACGGACCGACCGTGAGCATGCTGATGGCGCTGTAATCATGAATCGGACCGCGGCCAAGGTAAGGAAATACATTTTAAGAAAAGTTTGTTTGATCTAAGTTGATACAATTATTTCATGTACAGAAAGTCACACAGATGACGTATTAATTAGTTTTGAGTCAATTCAAGATAATTGAGTAATTGGAACCAAAAAAATAATTAAATGTTAAAAATAGAGTCACAAACGAAAGTCTACAATTAATTCGAGTCATGTAAAAGAAGCTTAAATAAGTCAGTAAAAGACGTTCCGATTAGTCAACAAATAATGTTAAGACGTGTAGATAAATGAACGTGCTTCATATTAAATTCCCACTAAAAAGACATTTTAAACGCACTTACAAAATTATTTTAACCAATAGATTTGATTCTAGAATTATTGAGACTATTAGAGACAATTTCGGAAATACTTGATCTAAATCAGATCGTTAAAAAATTATTTTATATTATTTGGAACATCCAGTAATTATTCGGATGCAACACAGGTCGCAGATTGATGTATTGAAGCGAAACCTTGATATTTGAGATAATTCACTAATTAATTTATAATTGTTTGTATAAAAGAAAATTTTATTCCAAGTGTTAGACCAATTAAAAATCATAAATCTAAGTTTGGACAAGTCCACGGACCAATAGAAACAGTTTCAGATATCAAAGGTTAATATTTCGGTAAAAAATTTATAAAATCCTTTAAAAATATTTAATTCATGTTAAGAACATTATTTTCTATTAATCCTATTAAGAAAAACCATGTAAAGGCTGTCTGAATGAATGAAACTAGAAACCAACTAGATGCGGGGAGACCGAACAGAATGGAGGAACTTGAACACATCGTTTCTCCTGGCCATCTTGGCACTGGCGACAGCCATCTGCCATCTTCGAAATTAGTCGTGATCGAGATACCGAACGGGACGGACCTCGCGAACCACGCGGCTCATAAAGTATTGCGCAATTGGGAAAATCGGTGCAAACCTGGTGTCTGAGCACACCGCATCGTGTCCAGGCGCGAATTAAACATCGCTGAAGGCGAATTAACGCGAAAAATCGCGAATTTCGGGAATAAATCCGATTTAACCGCTGAAGTGCGGAACACGGCGGAAATAAGCCGTAAATCTTTTCTAAACGTATTCAGTACGTATCCCGTAACAGTAACGCGTAAGTGAAACGCGAACTTAACGAGGAAATAACCTCGAAAGTCGTTGTGCGCGGTAGGTGATGCAATATCACGCCATCTTTTAGAGCGACCATCTTAGGTAACCGCCATTTCGTCGTAAGTGCGACGCGACGCGACAACGCGTAACAAAGGAAATAGCGAGCGAGTGTCGAATTCTACGGAATTACGCGAGTGAATGGAAAAGTGTGAATGAGGGTCTGTTAAATTAATTATTGATGTTTTGTTTGAATAAATATTATATAGTTTGTTACACCAAAAGTGCCTAAAGTGTAGTTATTCACTAGTATTACCATTCCACGAGATAAATTAAGTCTTCCCCGCAACGAAACGAGACGTTACTCGACGACGCAGTCAGCTCAGCTAAGCGGCCAATCCAATTGAAGGACGGAAGGACGTTATCCAATCAGTGATCTCCTTTCCGCTGAGGCCGAGTATTTGGGACAACGAGGACACCCATCCTTCTCTGTAGGTGGACAAACAGAGTGGCGACCGTAAAGTAAGTCACCTCAGGTGATATCTTATACAAAATAAATACAAAGAAATTAGAATACGCGGAATTATTAAGACTTGAGATCGAAATCCGGTTACAACCTTGAAGCCGGAAGCCAGTTCCGGGCTTCATGGCGCTCAAAGCGGCGGAAAGCGCGAAAGGGCATAAGCCCAAGAATTATTTAAGTTCAATTCTTATAATTAATTATAAAATTTGGTTATGTTATTATTATTATTGAATCTCGATTATAAAGTTTAGTTATTGGATAAAATTATATATTACATGAAAAATAGAATAAATAAAACTAATTTCATGATAAGCGGCCAATGGGCGAAACGCAATTAAATTCATTTAATTTGTTAGTTATCGAGCGTTAGACCAATCAGAGGTCAAGTATACTGAAAGGTATAATCGTTTAAGTTTAATTGGAAAACAAGCGGCCAACGGGTGAAACGCAATCAAGTTCATTTAGTTATTTTGTAATTATCGAGCGTTAGACCAATCAGAGGTCAAGCATACTAAAAAGTATTATTGTTCATTGTGAAAGATTATTAAATTGATGGATCAAATCAGCGCGTCATACGCGAAGCGAAAAGAAGTTCGTCGAGTAGAGCTAAAAAGACTATTAGCTTGAACGAAGAGCGCGGGGCCAATCAGAGGTCTTTATTTCAATTGAACTCAAGAGCCAATCATAACGTCGTAAATAATACGTGGTAGAGAAAAAATGGAAACGTAGGCTCAAAGGGGAGACGCGAAAGAACGGGTTAACGTTCCGCATATGCAAATGTGATACCGGGTGTCCAAATAAGACAGCCAATGAAAAGGCGAAAAGCGCAAATCTATAGAATAAACAGCGAAACGACGCAAATTAAGAACGTCAAGTCAAGGAATGATAGGAACAAAAGATAATGACGTTCAAAATAAATTTGTTATATATCGGGTGTTCGAGAAACGCGAG